AGTAAGGGACGAAACGTTCAACAAGGTCATAATAAATTGTTCATCAAATTTATTAAATGTCTTTAATTTCCCTTTGAAACTCATATATATTAATAGATAATTACTTTTATTAATCGGGTCGTAAGGTTTAACGCTCATACCACCTGGATAGAGTTATTTTTATAATAGAAAAGAAAAATAATATAAAAAGAGAAAAAAGATTGTTGCATCGAAAGTATGACGAGAGAAAACAGGGTGCAAGTGTTTGTTGTACTTTTTTTTTTTTCTTTCTTTCTTTCATCTACAGAAAATAACAATTTGTGTATGTGTCTCTCTCTCTTTCTATTTTTTTTTGTTTTATTGGTTTTTAATAACCACGTCACTCGAAATTCGTGTAGAAAATGAAACATACGTCAAACGGTTTGACAAATTTCATGAAAAAATATCATCGTTCGTTATCAATGCTTTCAATGTTAAATTAAAGTGTTCGATCTCGAGGTAATAATCTTGTTTTAATTAATATAATGTTAAGAATACACGTGTGTGTGTATGTGTGAGAAAGAGATAGATAGAAAAGCTTTTTAAACGATCAACCAAGGAAATGTGCGTAGGATGTATACTTTTAATAACTATATCATACTAATCAAACATTCTACCTAAAATGTCTTCTTATCTTTGTACGATAAGACTATTAACTGTGTTTTTTGTTTAATTAAACTGGTATTTTGTTTTCTTTTTTTTTTTTGTTTAATTCCACCCTCTCCTTCCCTCATTTCTTTTTTTCTCCGTGACACTCCCCATCGATATCATTTAATCTATAACTTCCTCCCGTATCCAATTACCGTTTATGGTTTCACGAAATATATTGGCAAACAATATGTGTTATTTTAGAGAAAATAAAATATTATTATAGGACCGACACTCGTTGTTCGCGAAAGTTCCTTGAAATATATATATATATATATTTTTTTTTTTGTAGAATAAAGTAGTTTTTAGGTAAAATGGGTTTTTATCATTATCACCAAAAATTATTAACAAAGATATCGTTAAAAGTTTGTAAACGAACATTGAAATAGTTGTGAGTCATCAGCCCTTATCAGCAGATGATACTTGAAATATACCGTCGAAAATGTTCAAATTTTGTGTTATTTATATTATAAAAAAAAAAAAAAAGAAGAAGAAGTGAAATTAAATTGTGGAACTTGCCGATCGATTTTGTCCATCGTGGTTGGATGCTGCAAGATGGTTTGCTGTTCGGTCATTTCGACGACACATTGTGTACCGAGTTCTAATTCTGTAAAGAAAAATTAATATCAAATAGATTAATAATAATCATAATTATTTATTTCAAATAACGCGTTTCACGAAGTAATCTTTAAAATCTCAAATTATTATTATATATATATTATTATATACAATAATTATATATATTATTATTATCTTTTTCAAATGATGCAATAAAACAAATTCGGTAAAAAAGAAATAAAATAAAATGTAGCATAAAAAATGATACATCATTTATTTCTAAATAAAAGAAAATATATCGTACGACATTTTAATTAAGTATTACATGAAGTGTCTAGTTATAAATTTAGTGTTAACAACAATATA